TCGAGTGAAAGTGTTGGGTGAAGAGATTCAAAGGTCGGTTCCACCAGAAGACGATGGCGGATTCCTCTTCACCATCTGTCGATTGGCTTTACTGGAAGATTCATGCTGACGCTGTTTTCGAGGCAATCTCCTTTGATTCCGGTAGAAAGGTGCTAAGCTTTCGTCAGTCATATGACGAACATCATCAGAGCAAGGTATCATCGTCACTACCAAATTCAAGCCAACGAGTTAAGAAAACTCACCGACGAATCCCTAAATAGCGGTATATATATTCTATATCTAGCCTCTGATCAAGTATAAAGTGATTTGGTTGGAGTTTTTTTACTCGTTAGCTTGAATTTTGTTGTGACGATGGTACCTCGCTCTGAAGATGTCCGTCATATGACGGACAAAAGCTTAGCACCTTTTAACCGGAATCGAAGAAGATTGCCTCGGAAACAGCGTCAGCATGAATCTTCCAGTAAAGCCAATCAACAGCTGGTCAAGACGAATCCGCCCTCGTCTTCTGGTGGAGCCGACCTTCGAATCTCTTCACCCAACACTTTCACTCGAAATGGAAGTAAGCTCAAGAATTCAAATAAGACATGGGATTAAGCGTGACTGTCAAATCGTTCACATACACTGTAAAGGGACCCTTTCACTCGTCGCCTTTTCTCAGGTCCCCAACTAATTTGTCGCGATATGACGAAGATACAGATTTAGCACACATGTTGTCCCAGCGAAGCAGTGCCTCATCTGGTGGAGTAATGTCTTGGAGTCTGAGGGCCCTTGATACTGTATTGGTTGATGCAGGCGTCGGCCCATGCATCTTGGGCAAGAGGGTACGTTTGAGCCCACTCCGCCTGAACACAGATACGAAAACACTCGCTGTGGTCTGTTGGAAGGGAACTACTGACTGGGTCTTCGGATGGACGCCAGTAGTCGCTGACTGGGCCAGTCGACTCTCCTCGTCTCGCCTCGTCTCGTTCCGTTTCGCCTCGCTTCGTCCTGTCTCGTTTTGTTTCGTCTCTACTCAATACATTGGCATCCCAAGAGTATGGGCTATGGTAGCTCAAACCAAGTTGGAGAGGGCTCAATCAGACCAAGACAGCTCCTCTTGGAGGACGAGTGGGGCGAAGGGAGGCAGAGAGGAGACACATGCGGAGGGCAAGATTAACCGGAGGCCAGAAGAGATGCTGAGGCAATTTGTGTGCTTGTGTATGTATGCATGCGTGTACAGTGGAGAGCATTAGCTGGCTGACGTCTGCCTCTTCACATGCACTCCACACTGCTACGAGTCTTTCTGCCTGGAAGTGGAAGAAGGAAAGGGTGGATGTTGTCGGGTTGGCGTAAGGCGGGGTCGGAGCGTGCACTGGTTCAAAGAAGCTGAGTCTGGCTGAGAACTGGAGCGGAATGTTGGTTGTCTAGAGGAGGGAAGATGAGGAGAATCTGGAGGAACGGCCAAAAGAGGCAAGATTAGCAAATCCCCTGGCGCGTAATCTAATGGCTGTGGTCTATAAGATGGCAGAGAAGTGAGTTAATGGTAACGACTAGGAGGAATCAGTCCGTGTGTGCATTGGTAGTAGGTCATTCTGTAGCAGTGTCACTCCGAGAGTGTGGATATGTGTGTGTGTGTGTGTGCATACTTGTGCGTGTAAGAAAAAGTGATTGAGCAAATTTTCCAGCAGGCCGAGATAGCCACACTCACAGGCTCGGCGAAGGATAACGTCAGCGATCGGGGGGTCGGGCTGGAGCTAGATGGGCCGGTTTTTGCAGAATTCGAGAGCTGCTGCTTTTGCAGCCTGGATACGTGTGATCGGGCCGCATGTAGGCAGGCCAGACTGGCTACAGCTCAGGGGAGACTTTGACCTGCCGAGGCGGCTGCAGACAGAGCCAGGGCAAGGCAGAGAGTACTGCCGGACAAGTTCTCCGACGGACTGGCCAGGCATGAACGTCCGTGAAAGGCCATCCTTGGATGATTATACATGCCAAGGCTGGGGAGGCTGACTGGGTGGGCGACTCAGCTGGACCGTGTGAATGGGCCGACAAGGCGGTGATGCAGTCGACAAAGGGTGACCAGGCTTGGGCGACTGGTGGGCACAGGGAAAGTGGGCATCATGGCCAAATATGCAGGCATAATCCCGAAGTGACAGGAGCGCGGGGAGTTGGGCCGATGGTCTCGTTTCTGGTGGCCGGTGGAAGGAGGGCACTTGTGGCTCATGGGAACTCGTGGTCAGGCTGCCTCGGCCACTAGAGAACACGGGCTCATCCGCTGCTATGACATCAGGCGATACAGATGAAGAATGAATTTGACGCATTTGGGATGAATGAGAAAGCAATTGCACTGAACTACTCGCCAGCACACATGCATCATATGTATGTGTTCATACAGGGTATGCTAGTTGTCTACGTGTAAGGGAGTGTGCAATGGACAGCTGAATTCGCTTACTCAGTGAACAAACCTAAACAGCCAGCTCGAGTTGTTCACATGTTGGTACAAGAGTGTGAACTGGGCTGGAGAGCTGCAGAAATGCCCTGGCAGCTGGCTTGAAAGTTGGCGGCAAGGAGCTGGAATTGCCGATACTTACCTCCCGATAATGTGCCCTTAGCATTCGTGCTTCATTCTATTCTTTATGATACGAAGAGAAATTGGGTTTCGATGACTCTCCCCCTAACAATATTCTTTATGACTTTTCTCTTGCTTGGGAGAAGAATGATCCAAAGAGACTTTCATTTTGGTTTGGCACAAGTGAAGGCCTCGTCTTCAGAGCAGACAAAACGCCAAAACGATTAATATCCTGGGATGACATTGTTGTGGAGCTTTCATTTCACATCAAAGGGCATGAAGAAGAGATTCGTAGGTCGATCTCACCAGAAGAGGACGGCTAAATCCCGTTGTACTGCAGTAATATATAAAAGCCAAACGGCTGCAGCACAACGGGATTCAGCCGTCCTCTTCTGATGAGATCGACCTACGAAGCTCTTCTTCATGCACTTTCATACGAAAACTGGAATAGTATAGAGGAAGATAGAAACAGTGGGTTTCGAGGAATTCCTTAATAGATTGGTGTTGGAGTACTTTTGATTTCGTTTGAAGAGGGGAGAGGAAAAGACTCGTAAGTTGGTCTCATCGGAAGCGGTATGAAGCTGTGATTGTAGATTTGTGCAAATAGGTCCTCGGCGCATCACCTTGCGATCCCGATCAAGCCTTGCTGGGTTTTATCCGCCATGTGAGAGACATAGTCAGAGCAGAATACCATGCTTAAAGATAATTGGTAAAACCTTCACCAATTCCTATTTGCCTTCGTGTTTTTGGTGAACTATCGTCTGACGATGTCCGCCATATGACGGACGAAAGTTCAGCCCATCTTCGCCTGAAACGTTGGAGAATGTCTCGTGGGCTGCATCAATCTAAACGTCGTATTAACGCTAAACGGCTGCAGTACAACGCGAATCAGCCTACGTCTTCTGGTGAGGTTGACCTACGAATCTCTTCATCATATACTTGCATACGAAATGAAAGTGTTCACATCAATCATCGGCCTAATGTCTTGCGACCCGAAATAATTCGTACTAAGCTTTGGTCCGTCACGCTGTGATACATCGTCAGAACCAGAAACTGAGTAACTTTGTTGATTAAATGTGTTTTTGATTTTTTCGCAAATGATGGTTGCTGGCCTGCTGATGCCTGGGCACGTTGGGAAAGACGAAAGCTCAACACAGATTTATCAAGATTACAAGGCGATGAACCAGGGTCTTCTTTACTCAATTCAGCTTTGCCATCATCAAGGCAATCCTCCTTCGGTTTCATATGAAGAAAAATTGCTAATCCCTTCTAGTAAGCTACTAATTCGAAACGAAAAGCAGTGACAATTAATCAGGCTATTATAAAATGGACCCTAATTTTGTGGTATTTTGTATGAACTGATATAGGTATTCTGTCTGCGATACTGTTAGATAAGGTTTGATTAC